GTAATTCATTTGTTATTAATTTGCAAAGCAATCTTGCTGGTATGTCAGTACGTTTGTTTTCCTACTCTAAGCAGTACTCTATCTCCTCGCATCTGACTTCTTCACTCTACATCTCTTGGTCGACCTACAACTCAAACTACATTTTAAATTATTAATAAAGATATAAGCAAGGCCTCACCTTAATACCAAAAAAAAAAAAAGATATATTTTGATGATTATTATCTAAAAGTGTACTATATAAAGAGAAGCTATGCTCAACAGCATAACTTGATACAGATAACCAAATATAATTAAGTGCAATTTGAAAAAGAATAAGTAAATGAGTTGCTAGATTATTTTAATATATATCTAATTTATTTTATTATTATTAAATTCTAATCTGCAATAAATATTACATTCATAAATTAAATCATCTAACAGATTATTAAATTCTTAAATAATTAAATATTGCCAAATATTACATCACTTAACATTTCCTGTTTTAATAAATTAGAATTAAAAATTTGAGTAGTACAAAATAAAAAACAGATAGGATAATTTGGAATGTGTAATAAAAATTTTTTATATGCTGCTTGAAATGCAGTACAAAAAATTAGATAAAAATCTAATGAATTAAAAAAAAGATTTGTAATAAGTGTATCAAGTTCTGTACCAAAATGTGTTGTAACTCAATTAGATTCAAGATAAGCAGTAAAATTTTCAAATCTTGTTTCAATATATGAAAAAACTGGTTTGTTATATTATTGAAAAAAATCTAAATTATGAATAAATAGTTTAGCATAAATTGAAATAAAATTTGTATAAATTGTAATAGTTTCAAAACTTTCAGCATTTTGTAAAATTTGATTAATTTTATCTAATTTTCTATTTGCTAGATCATTTTCAAATTTAGTTTTAAAAAAATATTACCAATATTGAAGATATTCTTTAGTATAAAAAACTATTTTAAACCAACTATTCCATCTTGTTTTAGTTGGTAATAGAATTTTACATGATAATAAAATTTTATTAGCATATAAATAAACTATATATCTATTTTTTCTTGCTGGAGATTTAGTAAAAAAATCGTTAATTTTAGATAAAAATATTTTTAAAAGTAAAAATTAAGAAAGATTTTGTCAGATTTCTCTAAGATTTAAAATAATTAATAATAATAATAATAATAATAATAATAATAACAATAATAAATATATTTATTCAATTAGATTTAGTATATATGCTAGGTATAACAAATGTATCAATTAAGGCATAATAGGTTTTAAAACTTTATTATAATATTTTTTTATATATGAAGCAGAATTTGAAAGAAATAAATAAGGAGTATTTAAAGGAATATTATAAAAAGATAGTATAGAAAGAAGAGTTTGTGCAATTGTTAAGTTATTAATATATATTAAAAAAATTAACAGAAACTAATTTAGTATATGAATGATATATAAAAAGAGTATTAACTACATTTCTTACATAACTATTACTAGTTTTATCCATAATAATACAAATTGGTTTAGAATCAAAAATAGATTTTAAGAAATTAATATGTTTATTAAATACTTCTGATAAATATATTTGATATAAAGTTGATGTTTGAGGAATTGCTCCTCCTTCTTTAAAATGTTTTTTGAAAAAAGGAATTAAAGAATTTATGTTTTCTAAATAAATGTCAACACTAATAAATGTTTCAATTAAATCAAAAATTACTTCTTTTTTAAATTCTGCTGCAAATAATGAAGCTTACAAAGTTTGTTGATTTTTATTTTTTTCTTTAGCTTCATAAAGTTTTTGTTGAACTAAATGTTTTTTGCTTACACAATGTGCATCAATTGTTGATTTGTGTTTCAATTCAACTGAAAGATCACAATAGTTACAAAAAAGTAAACCATCATCCATACAAAATATACCTTTATACTCTTTAACCTATATATGAACAATAAGTGTATTAGATTTTTGACGTCTAAAAGAAGACATTCTTACAAAAAATAGTTTATTAACTTTGATTACGATACTAATATAAACATTTTTTAATTAAACAGTAATAATTATCATTATCATTACTTTTATTCAATCAACAATACATTAGTAAAAAATTAACAAAGAAAATTTTCAAAAATGACTAATATTTTTGAATTAAAAAAATACTATCTATATATAATATTTGAGATCTTTTATGATGAATATATGAAATTTGCTGTAAAAGAACTCAATTAGAATAAATTATGTGTTTTATTGTGAAATTATGTGCATACATATATTTAAAAAAAAAATTGATTGAATATTTTGAAATTTTGTGACGAAACTATGCAAATTTTGTGATTATCACAAAATTTTGTGACTTTTGTGATATTTTGTGAATCACAACATATCATCGTCCCTGCCCTAAGCTCTGTCCGTAGAATTTTCGGCCACGTAATAATGTTGCATCACGTGATAATAGATGCCTGAGCAGAATTTTTTCCGTCTGTCCACCCGCGTGACTAATTATAAAAATCATTGGACAATTTTTTTAATTTGCTATGAATTTACAACAGCGTATGGATTATCAACAGCATATGGATTATTAAAAATAGTTTGCTTCGGACTTTATTGGTTTCCAATAACTAGTAATAAATAGAATTATAGTATAAGCAAAATCGAAACCTGATCAGCGGATCGAGTTTAAATTTACTTTTCAGATTACATTTACAAAACGTAATAAGTAATAATCATTCATCATAGGCAAGAAGTACTGGGGTAATTATTCCCATCTCATAATGATCGCATGACGGGAATTTACGTGTTAATAATCAATTTTTATCGCAAATTTTTTTCTTATATGATAATAAATAACGCCGGAGCAATAACAGGCTTTTGTTATTTCTCCAATATAAAGGAAGACAAAGAAAATGTGATAAAAACAATTAGTAACACGAATCCTCATCATGTCGTCATATGAGACGTTGAATAACTCATTTATTCTACCGTGCCAAGGAAATAAATAGTACTCATTACATGATTACCTTACCCATCTCTAGTTTCTATAAATTCAGACACTTAAAAAATGACCGAATTGATAAGCTTTTGACATCAGCAAACGTACTGAAAAACCTATTATCAGACTTCATTATATTTGTGTTCAGTTTGTTTTCCGAGTGCCATCTATCATTTGACTTTCAATTATATTTGTAATTACTTGTCATAAAATATAATAAGAGAGGGGGAACTTGTGCTGCAAATCAGTAAAACTCGCTGAGTAGGGTGAAAGCCGCGTTTAGCTATATTTTTTATTATCGTTATGCAAAAGCGAATTTCACCCTCATGTGATCTACATAGAGGATTTTACTAACTCCCAACCCTGTCGTAATATAATTGAAATTGATTTTCCCTAGATGGCACTCAAAGAACAAACTGAATACAAAATATAATTGAAAGCCTGAAGACGGATTTCCTTAACGGCATTCATATGAAAGCAGCTGGAGTACCGGCTATATGAAGTCTTTGCTGACGGAAATCAAAAGTTTTTGCATGATTCGGATAAATTTCGGCATTTTCATGAATAACTTACCCGTTACACGAATATGCAATTGATTTTTTTTAAACCTGTAATGCTGTTAAAAGTCCGATCCTATCCGTCAAATAGGGACTTTGATCAGGACTCGATCCTTGAGTCGATCCTTGAGTAAGTTTGCATATGATAATACGTGATTTACTAATACGTATCATCATGATGGGTCAGCATAAATTGGCCAATCAAATGACTAATTCCCGGGACAATATGCAGACCCCTACATTCGGACTTTATCTGAAGAGTCGATCCTAAAAAGTCGACTCAAGGATCTGGTCCAACAAGCTTTTTCACAGCCCTAGTTATAGACTATCGCTATCCCTTAATCTGTAGGTCATTTCCAGGCAAAATTTCCTGGAAAATATTTACTATTTGTGCCGCAGTACTAATCCTGTTATTAATCATGGCTAACGGCCGTGGATCTGCAAAATTTTGGCCCGCATTACATAATTGGTTACTAATTTCTGGCCGGAATTAACTTTTTAAATTGGCCCAGAAACATTTTCAGTCTAATTTTTGATCGTCGCTCTTGGCCAATCAAAAGCAAGAATCTGCCGCGATAAAACAATCCTATCCTTCAGAATTGTGGTCGCTATACATGTCGTAGAAACTATTTGCGTCATAACCAAGTTTTATGCACGGGCATTATATTTTAATAGTTATCGTGTCCGACACTTGCAATATCATGGACGTGTGTATGTACATATATTCGTTAACCATAATTTATCGGAAGAATCTAACCATAAAATTTCCAGGCAAATTTGCCTGAAAATCAGTTGACGATTTTTTTCTATAAATGTTTAAGATTGACAATTCTAAATTAGCATTGAATATTTCATTTTGAGTTACTTAAAAAGGAGGCTTTGACTCAGCCCTGACTACATACGTAGCAACAAATATATCTGATATCAAATATGCAAATTTAATTACACATTCATACATATTATATGCCGCCAAAGGAAAGCCTGTAATTATATACTTGGCGGCACCTATACCTATATATGCTTCTGATCAAGGCTGAGTCCGGTTGGTAATAAAGGTCGGGCTCCTTTTGCGTCACTCAAACGCAAATTATGAGCTGGACTGGTAATACAAGTACGTATTATGATAGTAATTAACCAAAAACTTTTTATTATATAAATTTATACATAAGAAAAAAAATTATTTTAAATTTCTAAATTAGAGAAAGTCAAGATTGAAATAAAAAAAAAAAACTTGACGTAATATCCAAAAAAAATTTTTTTGAACAAAAAAAAAAGTAATATAACGATAATTATAAAAATTTTTTTTACCATCATTCAAAAAAAACAAATAATAAAATAGTCGGGCTTTTTTTCACACTATTGTGGTATATAATAATATGAAGATTAACGTAATAAAGTAACATTAAACTTTTTTGATAATACACTAATCATGGATTTAAAAAAAGAATTAATAACGAAAAATGTATATTTAAAAAGTTTTAGAGTTTGCCCTGCAAAATCAATTCTATACTATTGTTAATAAACTCTTTTCGATATGCCATGTCCATACCAAAGACTATTGAGAGTTGTTCTCGAACTATTTATAAAAAAAACACAATTAGAATCGATATATTTCACCAAAAGAGTAAATTAATTAAAAGAACTTAAAGCATACCTTGTTTCTTTGTAATATTCATTAAATTGGCAGTTTGTAAAATATTTCGAATTTCCATTAAAATTTCTTCATCCGTTGGTCCATCGTAGGCGTGTGAACCTATAGGTCCTTGTGGTGGATAAATTTCCGTTTCTGAATGACTTCTCGGCACTGATATAATTGAATCTCTATAATTATGTTCTCCAGTTGCGCTGAAAGACCTTGAATTTCGTCCATCGGATGAAGTATTCCTTGGCACAGGTGATCTCGATCTACCACGTCGATCTGCAGGTGCTGTTAAATGAGTATCCCGATAATAATCTCCATCATGATTGCTACCACCGTATTGACTACCAGTTTCATATTTATGACTACCATGACTTCGATATGAAGTTGCACTATGCCTTGATCTTCCAGAATCATGTGATTCAGAAGTTCCCACTTCCCACATTTCTTGTTCATAATCTGCCCATTTCTTTTTCGGTATCAAACTTTCATCGAATTTTTCAACATCGGACGTTATGATTTGCTTTTTACCTTTTTCACCAACCACCACACGAGTATTACCCCAACTGAAATCATCAAAATGCCAAAATGCATAAATCGGAATAAAGAAAGAAAACAGAGGGAATGCTATTAAGTAGATTATCATCCAACCAATATGCTGCCATTGCCGTTTAAGAATGAAAATAACTGCTTGTAAACCATAAACTGCTGATAACATAATCAACGAAATCTTTGGTAAATCTTGACGTTTGGTAACAACAGCGTAGATAAGATAACCAATATATATTGTGGTGGATGGAAGAATAAGTGTACCGAAAAGATCAATAAAGACCACAAATCTCATTGAAAAACAACAAAAACCACACATTTCTGGTAAGAACATAAGTTCCATAAGATTATGAATTGTGGAATTAATCCAACGACGTCTTTGTGAAAGTAAAACGGACCATCGATCAGGTGCCGCAGTTTTACACATAGCATCTGGTGTAAATGTCATCTTATATTGAGGGAAATGTTTCATCATTAATGTGGTAAGATAACGATCTTCACCAAGTGACAACAAATTCTTCTTATGTAGAGTATCCACATGATTTTCTGAATATTCATCGATAACAGTAGTAGATATGATCAAAGGATTATTCTTTACAGGAGTGCGAATACGATACATACAGAAACAACCAGGTAAACAAGTAACAGATCCAAAAAGAGATTCGAATGCTTTAGCAAGATGATGAGAAATATAATATTCGTAAACTTGAATCATAGTTGTCCATGAACCTTCTTCGTTAACCAAGGTTGTTTCACCACAAATACCGATTATACGACCATCGTGAAGCATACAAGAAATCATACGATTTAACGAATCTGGCATAACTTCAGTATCAGCATCAACCATAAGAACATATTCGTAAAAGCTTGGATTTACTCCTATTACATTTTTCATCTGATGATAAATCTCTAATTCAAGTGGTGTCATTTCAAGTTCAAAATGAACTCTATTTAAGAATCTCATAAGTATGATTTGGGAGTCACGTTTTCCGCGATTGCCAGGTCTATTTTTTTCTGTCGGTTTTCCAACTTTGACGACTACTATATAAGGTACAACATGCCCTTCGTATTCGTAAAGACCAGAATAAACTTTTCCATAATTCATTTGTTGAGATCCTTCACCAATAGACTTAAATGCTAAAGGTTCTGGATCCATTTTAGGATCAACACCAAGAATATCTAAAACAATTCTTGGTGTTGGTCTATCGTTACCAGATCCAACAATCATACCATCTGCAATGAAGAAAAGTAATTTTCTTTTATCATCATATGTTAAAGCGGCTAATGAGTCCATTGTACGCTTAAGTGAGTCCTCTCCCTCGGTGTAACAAGGTACCTGACAGATGACAAATTTATCATGATCTTCTGGCCTACGTCTTGCACCTAACTGTAAAGCAGCCAAGAATTTTACGAGGATAACCGAACACATTACACAAGCAGCAACTAACAAAACGTAGTTATTGAATTGACATCGGAAAGTTTGTCGGAAATCCATTTTACCGATATAAAAGACTGAATTAAAACATCTCATCAATGAATTCAATCTATTTTTATCAAGCCCACCACTATTTAAATTTTTTGTAATATCTTTTCCATTCATTGTTGTGATTAACCTTTCGATTATATCTTGTCCTGGTAAATCTAACCAATGCCAATCGATAAAACCTGCAGGTTGTAATATGTTAGGATCAGGTTTTGAAGGTTGTAGCCGGTCTATTTGTGTAGCAAAATAATCGGTGAAGTCATAAACTTTATCATTAATTGTGACTACAGTACGGCCCCTTGAAAATAGAGCCTGGAATTGTTTTTGGGTCCAGACAAGATCGGCTTTCACATACAATTTCATTGTAGGAAGAAAATTATCAAAATACCACCTTGTATTAGCGAGTTTTGTGGTAGGATATTGTGATTGTGAACCTGTAGTGTGGACAAACATAAAACCGGTAGTCGGATCCGAAAGATTTTTATGTGAAATAGATACTTGATCACTAGTAACCATATCTCCACATGTTTCTGGTTGGGATAAGGGAACTGGAATTGAATTTGTAACGTCCAAACCAGCATAACTTTCCAAGGCTTGCGCATCAGCAGGTGGTCCACCACCCTTGGCATGATTTGTCAAATGAAATGTGCTGAGATCATACACAACACCCCTTACGCTGACCCAAAAATCATTATCACCTTTATGAAAAGCAACTTCATCCGAACTATATACTTTGTCAGTACCAGGACAAATTAGATCACCAAAGAAAATAATGTAGAAGATGATGAAGGCTGAAAGTAAGAATATTATAACGCAAAGTGTGAATTTTTCACGCCATGCCATTCGTACATCAGGACGTTTCATTTTTCCAACCCAGTTTAATAAGAATGAAGGAATCCACCAAGTAATTAACCATACGAATGCAACCCAATATCTACGTGTTTTAGTAACAGGTATTTCTTCGATTGTTTCTTTGTTTCCATTCCCTATGTTTTTTTCTTCTTTAGATTGATCACTAGGTGGAGAATGCCTGTATCACATTAAAAATATAACTTATTTATAAAAAGATTCTAATATTATGCATATTTTAATACATTAAAAATATCCAACTAAAAATTTACTCACCCATCACTTTTTCCATCCCATTCACTACCCCACATACTACCTTCTTCTTCTTCAGGATATGTCATACCACTATTCTTGGAATATTGAAAATCTTCTTCACTTTCCGCATAAGACTCATCATAACCTAATTCACTACCAGCATAATTGAAACCACTCCTCGGTATTAACCGATCCACTGAACTGGTAGCACTAGGTAAATGTGCGTTTCGACCACCATCTAAATGATTTCCACCGACTACACTATCATCATCTTTAAAGTGTTTAGTCTTTGCTCTTTCATCTTTTTCAGCAGTTTTTAAAATATCTTCCAAATATTTCCAGATCGAATTAGATAAGTACACATTTTGATGTCCAATAGCGTAACTATCTTCCTCCCATCCATTACTCAAAGCAAATTCTTCAACTTTTTGACGAAGATTTCGAGAAGATTCTAAATTATGAGGTTGAATAATTGATCTATAACGATCCAAAAAATCAGTGAAATCATATTTCATAATATATTCCACTCTTTTACGAGCAGTAATTTCAGGTATCAAGAAACTATGAACTTGAGATTTTACTCGTTTAGAATCAAAAAGATTTGAATCACTTTTATCATTAGGACGAATTTGGAAAACATTCCACATTCGAGTAGAATTTAAAGTATCTATTAATTGATTTAAAGTTCCATAAAGTTGAGTTGCGACTGTTGAAACATGAGCCAATGGTTTCTTTTTTGATTCTTTTTCATTTAATGTATCAGAGGTATTATTATTATTATTATTCCTCTTTGATCTTTTCATACTTGGAGCACGCATTGGTTTAGTAGGTAATTGAGCGGCAACAACAGTTTTTTCGTTCTTTGGATGATTTTCAATTGCCAAAGCAGGACCGGAAAATAATTTTCTAATAAATGTATTGTTCGTCTCTTTAAATAGACCGATAACATCAGGAGATAAGTTATCAATGTTTTTTTCAATGAATCTATCGATATCATAAACAACTAATCCAGCAAAATGATTTATTCCAAAAACACCAGCTTTTGAAGATGATTTAGAAGTAGAAGGATTTGAAACAAAAGAATGATGACTAGAAAAGGCTTGTTTCAAAGCGGAAAGAAGTGTTGAATCACCGACAGTTTCAGTAGCATTTTGAAATTTTGCACTTTCAGAATCCAAGATTGAAATGAAACTACGAGGTTTTCCTTCAGAACCATTACCTCTTAATAATTCAACGCAATAATTATTGTAAGTAGTAGAAACATTAGGTAAAGGAACACCATCATTTATGATTTCAGCATTAGTAGCAAAATTATCATCGAAGAGTCTTTTTAATATATAATTTTCAATTTCTTCAGTAGCAAAATTAAGACAGAATTGTTCAAACCCATTTTTTTCAGAATTTTGATAACCAGGTTGATCTAATAAACCGATGAAATTAGGAGGTTCATCAGATTGAATTAATTTTGAATTAATATGTTCAACTATCCAAGTAAATAATATAGAATATAAAACTTGAGCCAAAGAATCTCTTTGATCAGCAGCAGCATCAGCGTCTAATAAAACGGTACATAATTCTTTGCCAATTAATTTATTCTTAAAAGTTAAAGTTTGTTCTAATTTGAAAGCTGGTACACCTAAATACTGAGCAGCCAAATCCAAAAAGTGACGATTCTTAATAGTAGCAGCTTCATCTTTTGCTTTACCAGGACCGATAAATTCAATATTACCCAATAATAAAATAGCCGTTAATATTTGCCAAATTTGAGCAATAGTTTTTGATTTGAAACCAAGAGTTTTAAGAGAAGCACGTAAATCGTCCATTTGTACACTATCATCCATACCAATAATCTTAAAACATTTTGATTTAGATAAATAAAAATAATTTTGAGGATCTTGAAGATGCATTAGGGAACGTTCCTCAGGAGTAGCACCAGCCAATAAATAATAAAAAACGTGATAAGATCTTTCACCAAGAGGAGTATCAGTTACTCTTGCTTTATCGAAACAGTAGGTTAAAAATTTTGCACCAACAATTCTACCTCTTTCACTAAATTGTAATTCTAGATACTTTCCGAAACGTGAAGCATTAATATTATTTATTGATTTTGTGTTACCGAAAGCTTCTAAAATTGTTTGCGCATTTTGAATTTGATTAGCGATTTTTGCCTCCTTTTTAGTATGAGTTGAAAGTAGTAAAAGTTGTGATAAAAGGTGACTTTCGGTTACAGTCTTTCCCGAACCATTAATTCCACTAAAAAAAAAATTAAGTATAAAAATTAGATTAACGCGTCAATATTAAAATATAATCCAATTAATAAAATAAAATGTATAAACGCGTTTAATTAAACAAAAAAGAAAATATATGAAAGATAATAGAATTATAACAGTAAATAATAATAATAATAATCATAATCATCATAATAATATGGACAAACCTAAAAATTACACATTGGTCCTCAGCGGATCTTCTCATATGAAAATACACTTTAGCAGCTAACTCATAAATGTGAGGTTGTAAAGTTATCTTTTCGGCAGTTGTATTTTTGTACCATTGTTCGGCATATTCTTTAGCCGAAGCGTCGTTCATGGATTCCAAGGGTTTATTAGGGTTTATTACCACAAGAGAGGAATCATTAATACGAGTGTAAGGTAAGTCAGCTTTAGAGCGTGCGGAAAGAAAAGAAATTATTTCCTCTTCTGATGGAGGTACATTATTAGTTGGTAAAAGTTGAACTAAGTCAACTCTGTCATCCGCCGGGGAAGATCCTGGAGAGTTGGAAGGACGACCCTTTTTTGTTTTACCCATTTTGATCAAGCAGTATTTAAAAAATAATGATACCCCACCAAGTTAAATACTGTGACCTATGAAATATTAATTAAATACTTTTTTTTTTTTTTTTTTCTTTGTTTTTAATGGTTTTCGTTATTTTCTCAGATAGACTTGAAATCCAACGGACTTTTTGCCGTTTTCTCTCTAACTATTTAGAGATTCTAAACGAAATTTTTGTTAAAAAAATAACACAAAGGTATAAAAAGTGAAGGAAGGGGGTGGGGGGAAGGGGGGAAAGAAACGAGTAATAAATTTTGTTTGAGTAATGCGCAAGTAATAAAACTTAATACATATGTAAATTTCAAACAGATTATTTATTATTAATGTTATATAGTTAGATATACATAATTCTAATGCAAAACCAAATGTACGACCAGGGTAGCATACTTTAATTCATACAAAAAATATCAGTACTGCAATATGATAGAGTATGGATGTTACATGAACGTATGTATGTATGTAATGTGTAGAGAAAAAAATTTGTTAGTGTTAGTCTAAATACTGATTTTTTGGAACCAAAAATAAATCAAACTGCAAAAATAGTCGGTAAACAGTGAGCTTGTTTTATTATATCTAATATAGGCTGAATAAAATTAAAAAAAAAAAAAAGATCTCAAATAAATAAACCTTATCCGATTCGTTCAGTTGTTCGCACAACAGTGATAATTTTGTCGAGCCTTAAGTTCACACTGGTTTACTGCCTGTTTGAATTATTATATTAGATTATAACTTACCTGATCGAAGGCAGTTCAGGTTTTATTCCATTTGTAACACTCTAAAAATAGTAACCCTAAATAAAAAGTTCATTATTAAATTCTTGTTTAGCCCTTTTTTAGAATCATACTAAATTTTGGATAATTTCGTATGATTATGCTGCTTAAATCTATTTATAGTAAGAATTTCAAAAATTATCGTCATTTATTTATTTATTTATCGTTATTTATTATACGATTATACGATATAACAGATCAAAAAATAAATTTTGTCGATGTTAACCCAAATATTAGTACGAATATCGATCATGTGGCAGTTACGTATCAGGTATGTTACAATTTAAAAAACATACGTACGTACTGATACGATTTACGAGACATTTAAAAAAAAAAAAAAAATCAAAGATTTCAAGATTGCATGCATTTAATGTTCATCCTATATTTTCGTTATTAATTCATTCGTACTCTCATGATGGGCTAAGACTTATTGAAACAAGGAATCCATTCTTCTAACAATATTTTATTAGTAATGATGCATTCATGCAATGTATTGTTTCTTTTATGCCATAGTACTAATTATACGTAACTGTTCGGAGAATTCATTTTTTAATACATATTTGAATAATAAATAGTCTTATTCATTATTGTTACTTATTCTTCTCTCTCGGCTCCCAGCCACACTTGTCACGTGAAGTTCCCATAATTCCGGTTCATTCGTATATTTTCTTGTATCCAAATATGATTAAAGTTAATCGAATCAAAATGTTTACTAAAATTAAATTCTTGGCTTAACTAATTAAATTGGTTTTGTCATCCAAATTGTAAACATATAACGAATTCGTGAAACAAGTTGGGTGGATTGAATGCATTTTTGCTGAAATTTTTACCTTACAGTTTTCTCTAAATTATAAATAACGATAACAATAGGAGGTTGTGTTCTAATTATTTTAATCCCGATACATACTGCATGTATATCTCTTTTAATTTGGTTAAAAAATTGGATGATCTTGTAATTGGTAATAATGTAAATTTAATTATTCACATATCAACCTTTTTACAGTAAGTCTATTAATAAAGGTTACATTTCGAGAGTTGCGTATCAGCAGATTCACTTGTCGAGAAAATTTATATAAACTGGTTTTGAGCTTTGCCATTTAGAAATTTTAATTAACGTATGTTATACTGTAATTAGTTAGTATAGGTTATCCTGGAGAAATTTGATTTAATTAGTTTTAGTATTGCAACTGGTGATGTTACCCAAACAATTTGGGGTGTTCCCAATCTACGTGATGAATAATGTCGCATTAAGCTTTTTATTGCCTTATTATTATTGTTGAAATCGTATGATACTATTTATCACATAGCTTGAAACGTTCAAACATCATCAGTTGCGACTAAACCCGAAATTGGCTAATGTTAGGGACATGCCATTTATTACATGATTTTTACATGGTCAGCTAGGTGATCACGTACATATATATACGTATAATATATAAGGTATTCTGGCGGGGGTGGGTAATGTGGCAGATAACATATTATTGAACTTGATTTATCAACTGGAATCCAATGATTCAAGACGAATCGAATAAAAAAAAACGCTCGATTCTGACTAATGTACAAAACTCTGGAGCGAGCGATATGTATACGTAGTGGATGATTGTCATAATGAATATACTGATAATTATTCCCGGTTCTTATTTATACTTCTATACTATTTTTCTTGCTTATTGCCCAGATCTCAGATTCGGGCTGATCCGGAGTTTTTATATTTCTTTTTGATTATATAACTTTTTTTAACGTTATACGAATTTTTAAACTAGTAAAGTTACGAAAAGTTAAGTCGTTGGCTAAAAAAAAAAATGAAAAAGTGAAAGAAAATGAAAAAAAGTTTGTAAAGTTAAACGTTATGAAATGCATAACTTTAATTTAAAAAAATAGTGTAGAAGTATAATAAGAACCTGGGAATAAAACAGGTATTATCCACGTAAATCAATAATTAAATGTGGATCGGTGATCGGATAATGACAATGGCACACTGGCTATGGATGGGCAAAATAATTTTGTAAATAATAATGACCTATGACTTATCCCTTACTTACTATAAAGTATTATTAAATAATTATTACATTCTATTACTTATTACGTATACATAAGACACTTGATAACAGTCGGAGGTGAGTGATTAAAATTGAGATTGAACGAAAAATTGCTGCTAAGAACAAAATTATTATATTGTAAAATTACTTAATATTATTTATTGCAAAAACAGTTGCTGGTCCTATCAAGCAGGTTTAATTATACATGTTGTAAGTGGAAACGGAATTTAAGTGGATTCAAAATTTTTATATAAACCTGCATTTTGTGGTTGATTTTGTCATATATACACCTTAATTCTAATCTCAATTTAAATAAGAAATTCCAAATCCATTTAAATCTCATTTCCATTTATGACATATATATTTTCTAAAAAAAGTTTTTGAAAAATTTTTATAGAAGATAAGTCATCTATTAAACTATGTTTTTACAATATGTTTTCTAATAAGCAAAATTTTATTAAAAAGAAAATATAATCTGATTATTAAAAAATTCTTGAGTATTAATTGTTGTTCTAATACAAAATTAAAATTAAAATTAAAATATTGTATAAATTATAAAAAACTTAATAATATTAGAAAAAAAATACTTACTTTTTATTAAAAATATAAGAAATATTAAATGTTTTATCTGATTTTCAATTTTAAACTTAGTTAATAATTATTATTAAGTTATAATAGATTTTAAAAATAAAGAAAAAACTGTATTTAATTTATTTTTTTTGGTATTAAGGTAACCTTTTTGGTCTTTTGACTTTTATTAATGATTTTTTGGTATTGTAATTCAATGAACCATTACAAGAAAGCATACAAGTAGTTATATTTGTAACTTTTCTATATTACCTATTTAAGAAATCTGCCTGAAAGTTCTTTACCAATTGTTGTATCTAACACTCCTACTTAGATGTTTCACTTTAAACTCTTTAAACCTGTAATCTGTATTAACTTACTAGATCATACTCAGATGTTCAGATTATCATCTTAATCTTAGGACTAATTTATTCTTAAAATAAACTTTCTAAAGTCTTCTATATCTATTTTTACAGCTAACTTAGATATTGCTATAGCAAAACCAACATTTGTAATTAGAATTTAACTATTAAACTGTTATATTTTTATAGAATTTATTCAGGTCTCAGCATCTACTTTATAGCATAATTTTAGTACTTTAGTATATCTTTAAATATCATTAGACTTCTAATTCAGATGATTTATATAAAACTATGACCAGTCTATTAGTATATTAAATTAGCTTAATATTATTTTTCTCAAGTATGTTTTGACAACCTGGTTAGTAGTATTTCTAAAACTTAAACCTGAAGATTCTTGTTTGTTCAGTTACTAAGACCTGGATATCTGTTTTCTTAAGTTATCTCTTTATTTAGATCTTTTTAAATAGACTTCTTATTATCTAATTTCAATAAATTTACATAGTCACAAGAACTTATTTAGTGTTTATACTTTCTAGTTGTCAGTTTGCATTTTTCTATATAAGTCCAACATTATACAAATGCCTTATGACCTGGCAGTTATGCTAATATAACTACTATTACAGGTATTCTAACCTAATTATTAGTAAAAGTTATTATAATTTGTTTGAAACATAATAAAAGACACTATATTATTCTATAAAGGATAATATATAAGGTTTTTTTGTCTGACTACTTTATATGATGATCATCTAATTAAATTGAACACATATATATAGTATAGTAAATGTAATATAATTTGTAATTTAATACTTGCTCTGAATATACAATACTATGCATTTACCTAATATAAATATTATATAGGTAATTATCTAAATTTTTACTATCAATAAAATTTGAACATCCAACCTACTAGTCGAAAGCTTAACAACCTGACCACTTTACTAAGTTGTTACATCTACAAAACTATATTTATTATAAAATATAATACTTATAAGTTTAATATAATATTATTTAAATTATATAATATTTTAGTAATATTTTTTTTTTTTATCCTTAACAATTTTGCTAAAATCTTTTTTAGTATTCTTTATACTTCTTTTGAACTAATGTTTTTAATATTTCAGCTCATTGAACTTCAACCTTTCCTGGTTTGCACTTTTAAACTTTTCAGAAGTGATTGTTATACTGACTTTTGCTAGAATTAAAAAGATTTATCAGGCTCTATATAGAACTAGCTG